CATAATTAGGGTGGCAACGAGTCCAGGTCCAACCGGACTCGACCCAAAAATCAAGATATGTTTATCTTTAAATATATTCATATATATTTCAAAATTGGGACCCAAAAATATAATGTGGGACCCATACAAGGACCCAGATCTGGACCGAATAATGTTCGGGTCCAAGATTTGGACCCAGACCCAGACCCGATCCGCAAGGTCCAAGTTTTTAAACCATACCCGGACCTAGGTCGGGTTTACCCGTCACATCCCGAATCAGGTCCAGGTCCATTGCCACCCCAACACATAATGCCTTAACCAGGTAGTAGAAGAAGTCAACCCAATAGTGATGACTGTTATGATGAAAGAGTAACAAGACAACAATTTTTAAACAAGAAGGCACCGCAACATTGACCCATGAGATCCTTCATAGGATCAAGAATTATCAAAGAAACCTCAAACATATCCAAGAAGCGCTATAGGATCTTTCTTCAAGGGGGCAACATAAAAGAATGTGAGGCAATGTCTCTTAAGCCTACAAATGCAAGATTAAGCAGTTGAGGGTACAATCACACCTTTCAAGATGGTCCAGAGTAAGAATCTCCTCCAAGGGTGTTTCAACCGTCTAAAAGCAAAAAGTTATGAACTTCAGAACCCCAAATAATATGATCCTTTACTAAAAATCACTTCTCTAAGACTGCTCAACAAAGAACCTAGCTCCTATGTATCATCGTCCTTCAGTTAAATATAAAGGAAGGTGCCAAACTGCTCAATTGCTATATATTATTCATAAACAAGAACTCCAAATTCAAGTTATTTAACTCCCAAAGCGCATTAAAATTGTTAAGCAAGTTGCTTTCTGCAACCAAGGCTATGATGCATGGATACTTCAAAATGGGTCTTGTATCGATGTTGTACAATTCAAAATGACTTTTGCATTCACTCAATCATAAAAATATCGATGTTGTTCCCTGTCCAGAGCCATAAGCATGCATCTAGAATAGGGGGAGCTGATAGAATGGCTAATAAGTAGTCTTAGAGTAGCCAAAAAGGTTTAGGCCTCATTTTTATGCAGGGCATACCCAGTAGAGTCATGTAAACCAATATGGCCTGTGAATGCCATCTGTGTACTTCATGGATTGTCACAACTTATCCATTGAAGATCAGCATGGGTTCCACTAGAAGCTCAGCCCTCAAGGTAGCCCTATAATGGCATAAGCTTAGAGTAGTGTTTAGAACTTGCTGAGCTGACATGGGACTTGTTCAAGTCAGCTAGGCTAAGGACCCTAGCAAGTCCCTAGCCAGAACCTAGGGACTCGCCTGGGTCTTACCATATTTTTGGCCTCCTTTTCTTATTTATTTATGTACTTGGCTGTCTTGACCAAACTTGGCCAAGTTCAACTGGGTGAGCATGCTTGGGACACTAGCAAGTCCCAACCCGAGTCCTGATTATTAAACACCTTAAGAGTCCTTGACTGCCTGTAAATAAGCTAACAAAGATGGGTACAGATTCCCGTGGGAGCTTATATCTTCAAGGTATTAGAGCTTTAACATGGCTCAACTTCAAGGTAGAGTCATGCGAACCAAATAAGTTATTCTCTTTCCATCTATAGGTTAATTTCTTTTACAATTTACAATGAAGGAGAAGAGAAAAGGGGAAGACCAATTTTGACCGGAATTTATAAACATCTTTTACTAAAATCTACAATATACTAATCAAATAAATAATTTTGATACATTATTATGCAGGAGTTTTATAAGATGAGTCTTGAGTAAATAAATAGGAGTTGAAAAATCTACTTGAGAAAATATATTCGTAAGTAAATTTAATATATTTAAAACATATTTGTTGAGTATCTAACTATTATTATTTGGAATTGTGTGTATTTTTTATTTTTATTTTTCCACATTTTTTATATGTCAATTGTAAGAGCACTTTTATGACACTCCCAAAAACAATGGAGCTTCTTGTAATAGACGATCCACTACTCCCACTTCCGACAACTATGCTCCAGCGCTCACATCCTTAGGATGTTGCTTTCTATAATGCGGACTGGGCAGTTTATTGTGGTTCCAAGAGATCAACCATTGGCTAAGGTTTTATTTTCTATGAGGTACTTTGGCATATTGCAACAACAGGAGATAAATAGTTGTGCCCAATTCTAATACTGATTTTTGAGGCCAGACAAATTTATGGTCGCTATTGCAATTCATCTGAAGAGGACAAGACAAAGAAAGCAATATCTATTAGATAGACGTGTTCTTTAGTGCTTTAAACCTTTCCCTTGCTGAATAACGTACCAACATGGATTATCATTTTGTCCATGAAAACATCTTTGAAGAAATTTAGGCACTTCATAATGATGGACGACAGAGAAACAAATATCATAATTAAAGCTTTACAAAAAGAAAGATATAATCCTCCCTTTTGACTTTAAGGGGAGTTCGAGAAGTACTTATGTAATTCTATATTTGCAAAAGAGCATTTTTTGTATTCCTTTTGATTGTTAAGGTGAAAAAGGGCACTCTCAGTAATTATTGCCTTGAAAATATTTCCCTATGTCCTAAGGAGTATCATCCTTTTGCCCCACCATGTGATGTATTTCATATGTGCCAAGAGACTAATGAAATTTCCTCCAAGTTTATTTCTTTTGCTAAGGCCCTTGTTTGAGAAGTCTAGGGAGGCCTATGTGCATTCCAACCTTCACCAAATTATGTAAATAATTCACTCCTTACTTATATTCATCATGCACTAGTACAACATTATTGGTTTTTTGGACAAAATAATTGCTTCAAGCAATGACATTCATGACATATCCTCATAACAGAAGTAGTAGTAGTCTCTTCTAAATGGGAAATTTCGACTAAATCCTGATTCCTTAGTCAATGAATCACTATTCTTTTGCATATATACAAGGAACTTATCATCCAATACCATCCCCAGTGTAACCAATAGCAACCTGGGAGATGGACTGCTATTGGTTATTTCAACCTCCCAACACTCAGAAAACACCTAACTTTACACAGAGTACCAGGACCATCCAAGAATCCTAGGTCTTGAACCACACCTAGGCTCCATACCAGACACCTTTCATATAAAATGCCTTTTTTTTATTCATTTTCCCTCTGAAACATCAAGTGGCCACCTAGAGTGCATATGCAATGACCCCCAGTCTGTCAGGGGGCCACCTGGTGCTTTTGATAGCATTGATCATCCCACCAATAGCAAGCCACATTTAAGTAGGATAAAGGAACTTCATCAACATGGATAACCACATTTCAATGTCATATTGATGTGTCTTGGGGAGCATTCTATGTTTGACAATCATTAAACTAAATATCAAGTAATGCTCATTTAGTCAGACCAGGTGTGCCCACAAATTTTGATACATCTGTTGATAGTTGAATCACATGATACCTTTTGCTCATGCAACACACAAAATGTCAAGGCACACCTAGCAGGATGTCCAAAAAAAACTGCTTGCAATTGTGCTAACAAGTTGACAGGTGTCTTAGACATGCCAAAATGCATCCAACACAATACACATATTTGCACATGCACACTATTATAATGGAATATTAATCCCAAACAGAAACTATCAAGATTTTCTTCACATTCTCTAAATTCTTGGACAAAGTTTGAAGGACCAGAATAAAGTAAAACACCACAATAACCCAGTAGGCCCCCTAGACTGCACATGTGAGTTTATCTAATCATTTGTTCCATGGACATCTAAGGACCACCAATTGCACAATTTAGGTGGAACTGTATCAGCACTCCTACATAACAAATACCGACACTCTTACAACATCTAGACCATTACATGGAGTTCACAAAAAAATTTATTTGTGACTTCATAAAACAGCATAATTCTATCAAGGACCAGGACGATTCACAAAATTTCCGAGAACAGACAGAAGTTATATATTGCACCCTTATTGGTGATGCATACATTAAGAAGTGTAGATGGGATTACCAATACTCTGCTACATGGTCATAACAGTAGCTGCCTCCCAGACCATAAACTTCCAATGCAATAGAACCCAGTGCCTAAATCACAGCTACTCAGCACTGACACCTCGAATACACATCAATGTGAAAATATAAAGCTTTCAAGGTACTTATTAAACAAATTATGAGATCTCTCCACAAAGCAAGGCATTGAAGGTCATCTTGTCGAGCAGAACAAAATGTGAATGAGAAGGAAGGCTACCTTACAATTTTAAAAAGGAAAAAAAAAAACTAGGTTAGCACGTTTGGTTTTTTGGGACAAGCTTCAAGGGTTAGAACCCTTAACCTCCCTCACCCAAAGACCCCAAAAAACATTTGTTTCGTCCTGTTAAAGGGTAATAATTAACCCTTGAGGTCACATGGTGGCCCCGCCACCCTGACCACCCAGGCCAACACACGATTCCAAAAAAACAGGCCCTACAAGGCCATTTAGGGAGGCTCAGAATCAAATCAATCACATATGTCTCTGAACAATACAAACCCTAAAGAAATGCTACTGTAAATCCTCCTTAGGAGGAAAGGGATGCATGTGAGACCATTCACAGCTCCAATCAGAACATCAGACAACTGAGTATGAATCGCATTTCCAAAACCGTTGTAATTTGTGACAATCTTCAAATTAAAGTGTTTTATTGCCACATGGGACTTAAAACAGATGCATTTGTTCATCTTCGATTACGAGCTCAAAACAAAAAGAGAAACGTAACTAGGAGGGGAAGAGAGAGAGAGAGAGCTCAAAATAGAGAGATGAAATCTTGAGATCGGTAAGGATTCAGCAGCCAAGAGATAACCACAAAGGGAAAACACAAAAAACAACAGGAACAACATAGCCTGTGAAATCGTCAAGGGAATTAAAACCCGAAAAATGCAAGCAGATCTGCAAAAGCACTCTGTCTTCAAACAAAAGCACATTCCAAGGCTAAAAGATCTCATTAAAAACACAAATATGTTGCTTCCCCTAAAAATGGGTTTCAAATGAAAAATTAAAGGCCTGAAAAGTATATATCACCTGTTGCTGTTTGGCGACCTGTTCGCGGAGCTTTGTGGCCTGCTTCCTGAGAGCATCCATTACTCAAATCACAAGAAGCTAGCAGGATAACGCATAAGGATGGATCCGACTCAACCTCTGACCGATAGTAGAGGAAGGATATAAACTTCCTCCAAAACCTAATGGCGCTTCGTCGCCCCGGACTGGGCGATGAGAGGGAAACGGGACGAGCAGGGAAAACCTTTCCACCTGATGACTGGGGTAGAAAGAAACTTTTTTTGCTTCAACGGACAGAAAGAAGCTTTTGAAATGATGTTTTAGCTTTCAAGCGTGTTTAGATGCTCCCGCAGGAGCGTAAGCCGACAATATGATCCATCTGGTATCTTGGGATCCATTTGAGAATCAATAATCGGATTTTGTGTTTTCGAACGTTTGATGTAAACTCTATCGTACACTCAATTTTATGTTTTTCCGGGCACACGTAAAATGAATTTAGAATTTAAATGGTTTCGTGAGGTGGTTCATAATTATCATTATCATAATAGCCTTTCTCAAATTATTTAGAGTCGGCTACATGAATTTTGGTCGGCTATTTTATTATATCAAGAGTCATACTCTCTGTGAGGCTATAAGTCACTATATTTTTAGGGATTGTATACATTGAGACCATTTACTTTTGATGGAAGGTAGTTATAATTATTTACAACCATCCGATGTGAAATTTGATAGCTTGGATGTGTCACAAAGTTCTAAAAAATTTCTTGAGGTTTAAGTTTGGTCAATGGAATTATGATCCTACCTAATTTCACATCCAATAGTCAAGATTAATATGCCCACCTTATGCTAAAGGTAAATGATTTTATTTTATACTTTTTTTTTATTTTTTCTCACTATTTCCCAACCACGTCGTTTTATGCCTATTTTTTTTAGCCTTTGTTTTTTTTACAAGAGTAAGGAATATTATTAAAAGTAAAAGAGATTACAACAAAAATTACAATGATAAAGAAGATAAAGATAAAGAGGTTATCGGTACTCCTTTCTTGGCTAAATCATCGGCAATAGAGTTTGCATCCCTATAAACGTGATGAAAGCAATAGTAATACTATAAGATAACTCAATCACTCTGTACAATAAAGTTAAAAGCCGTCAAGGAGGTCTTAACAAATCTTTACACCAATTAATGACATTGGGAGAGTCTTTTTCAATGATTAGATTTTGCTCCATACCTCTCTCCCTATAGATCCAATTCCTTTTAGCAAATATTCAAATTCTGTATGATTAGCAGTAACCACCCCACAAGGCACAATGTAACAAAAAATTATCTAATCTTCGTGATTGTGACATACACCCCCAACTCCTGAAAGGCCCTGAGTTTCCAAAAGAACAGCCATCAAAATTTAATTTCATGCATCCCATGGCTGGTGGGATCCAATTACACCATCGTCTCATCTTTTACATGACCAAATTGGTGAAGTTTAGTTCACATCGTTCTTTGAAATCCCTCAACCCCCCATTGTAATACTAAACCAACTCTACGTAAAAAAAATTAATTTTGCTTTGCAATTCAGCAAAACCTAGCCACACCATCAAAGGTAAGCATGTTCCTTTCCAACCAAAGTTCCCATATAATAGTACCCCTCAAAATATCCCAAAAAAAAAAAATGCTTATCTTTAATAGGCCTGGAATCTTCAGTTGACTCATTAAGTGACTAACCGACGATGGGATAGGTAAAGGCACACATATTTTCTATATTGCCCAATACCATAAGCGAGAGGTAAACGGGCAATGCAAAAATAGATCAACAGTTTCTTCATGTTATTTGCAAAAAAGACAAATATTAATGATGATCTTCGCTCTTTTCCTTAAGTTATCAATCGTTGGTATTATCTTTTGAGACAGAATCCATATAAAAACTTGTACCTTATAGGGTATGTGCCTGTAACAATTCTAAACTTTCCAAAAAAAATAAAAAGAAAACTCCTTATAATTTGATGGTCCGTATAGGCATTATAGTCCTTAGGGACCATTACTACTTTTATATCTTCTTACCCTTAACTTTCTTATCATCCGTCACGTCTGTTAGTGGACGTGGGTTGTAAACGTCTGTTAGTGGACGTGGGTTGTAAATATTAGAAGTGGGTTGTAAATATTAGAGGCTTATTATTAATTTTACACCTCATGTACGAGGTGGAGGTGTTTTAGAGAATTTAAATAGGCCGAAAGGTAGAACTTCACCTGAAAACTCTTTCTCGCTCTTTTTATTACAAATGTAGTGAGCTCCTCTTTTTAACTGAATTTTTTTTATCAAAACCGGCCTCTCAAATATTATGGGTAAATAACTTTATTGTCTTGAAGAATAATTTGTTTTTTTTAAATAAAATAATTATTTATATCTATTATCATGAATTTTAGGCACGATAAATTTTATGTGTAAGTGACCTCATTGTCTCGAAAAATAATCTTTTTAATAAAATTGTGATATTTTATCCATGTTAGAAATTTTAAATGCTGTAAATTCTTAGAAATAAATTTATTCATTTTTCTTGTCTATTGTTAGAAAATTTTAGATACTGTAAAATTATTAGAAATAAATGCGATATTTCTGCTTTTTAGTAAAATTTGTGAGATTTCTTTCTACTGTTTTTGAATATTTAGACATTGTAAAATTCATGTGCAAATAACTGCCTTAATATTTGAAAGATGATATTTTTGTAATTGATTATAGCATTGTCTATGAAATGTTTATTTGCGAATTGACATCCCATAAATTGTGATAATTTCGTATTCTTGAATTTTTATAAGAGTTTTTCTATACATATTAGCTTGGCAATTATGTTAGAATGTCTTTACGAACTACTACCTTTCTAAATTTGAGCCCAAAATATTTAACCGGTTATTTTTGAAATGTTATCGAAAGTGACTGTTATTAATGGTTTCAGTGAAATTCATATTAATAATTTCAGTGATATGTTGAGTACGTGATATTGCTGCTTTCGAGTGTTTAAAGATATTTAAAAATACTTTAAGTATGCAAGTGGACTCATCTGGTTCGCCGGTGAGGTATAAGTGGACCTATCCGGTATGCCGGTATGGATTAAGTGGACTCATCCGGTATGCCGGTGAGGTGCAAGTGGACCTGTAGGGATTATGTGGACCTATCTTGGATGCCGATAGGGATTAAGTGGACCCATCATAACGCTGATGGGGTATATAGGTGACCTACTTGGAACGCCAGTAGGGTAATTTGTGAAATCCTATGAATTATGCACTGTTGTTAAAATGTTATATGCATTTCAATTATTCGGATTATACTTAATTATCCATGTTTTAAAGTAAAATTGTTGATGCATTTTTGTTAATAGATCTCTTTTTTGAAAATATTGATATCTTTCAACCATGATTATTTTTAGGATTATGATGATCACTTACTGAGCAGCCAAACTCATCAAATTATGGTAAACATTTTTTTAGGCTAACTGTGGTTTCATATTGAGTGCTCGTCAGGATCAACTTTGAAAAATATTGTAGTTGTGCTTAAACTTTCTTTTGTTACTTTGTAAGAATTCGCCATTGTAATTTGTCCTGCAAGAGATATATATATGTTTAGACCTTCATGTTAATATTAGTTATGAACAGAGTTTATATAGGTTTGAGGGGGAAAAAAAAAAAAATCTTAAAAGGGAGTTTTGACTGTCACATCTCAAGAATATCAGTATTGTAAATTCTTGAGGTGTGACAGCACCATTTCTAGATGTCCTTTAGAGTAGATTGAGTACACCTCACCATGTTATGGAATAATAAACTATATGCTGATTTTACTGAAAATGTACCATATGTTTCTAACTCGAACTAGCTCGCAACTCCTAACAAGTATTGACTGGGTCTTCTCTGCACATTGTCAACCTACTCAAATCTACTTTCTCCTATCGTATCGTCTATTGGTGTCTTACCTAAGTTTTCTTAATGTATTCATCTTTAAAGTTTATCTTTTATTGTCTTGTCACTCATCCATCTCAATATTCTCATGTGAGGCGGTTGAAATGGTAAGATCGGAATCCTTAAAATGATTATAAATTGGGTTCTATGTGAGAGAGTGGATAAAATACCAATAGATTAGATTTTTACCTGAGGGAGTAAGTCGAGATCTAAATCCTTAAAACGATTATAAATTGGGTTCTATGTGAGAAAGGGGATAAAATATCAATAAATTAGATTTTTACCGAGGGAGTAAATCAAGAAAATGTTTCTGCAGGTCCATAAAATATATTGACTTTAACTTTTAATGAGAGAGGGTGGGAGAACCTCTATACACCCAACCCAACCAGGGAGAGAGAGAGAGAGAGCTTGGTTTGAAGGACGTTGCTAAATCAGAAACCGACGAAATATTTGCATATTTAAAATTTTACTTGAGATATAGATTCGATATGTAAAAACTTATAATGGTTTGAAAATTTATATTTATCCCTAATTATAAAATTTAAATTTTTGAAATAATACAAATCAAGCAGATTTATAAATGTTAGAAAATCTTGAAAATGGATTGACCAAATAATTTGTTACAAGATGCACTATTTTTAGGACTTTAAATTCTTTTTTTTTTTTATCCATATATCTCGAGGTCGAGATAATTGATTGAAAGCATCAGAACACCTTGTTCTTGGGGATTTTTTTATATTAACTTTACTTTAATAACTTAATAGTATAATTTGTTTCCTTTACCGATTGCATCAAGTTCTTTTTGAGTTGGGGGTTTGGCCAATGCTTCTCTCATCACGAACGGTTATAATTGATTGAGACTTACACCAATGATCGGAGGCTCATGTAGTTCACTCCCACCGTAGCATGCTCTCAGATGGAAATAATGGATGTGGGTAAAACAAGATAAATAAGTAATTTCATTTGGTTAAATGGTTTTTCCAATCAAAAGAAGAGAGATTTTGAAGTATCTTCACATTCATCAAATTTGTTATCTCAAGATAATATGTGTCCCCTGTTAATAATAATCAATGTGTATAAGGTTCTTAAAAAAAAATTATACTTGAGATACCTGAAAAATAAGGATCGAGCACTTATCTTGCAAGCTCAATGCACTGAAAAAGCAAGGCTATAGAGGATCAGAATTGCCCATCTTCAAAGCGAGAAAGTAAGTAGGAAAGAACATAACATTGTGTGAATCACTTATCAAGAGTGATTCCTATCTTCAGATAGACAAAATACCCTTTTGGTTTGGTATGTGATCATTGACAACTTGTGGTTATTTCTTTCAAGCGTTTTGA